GGCCTCCGACGCGGAAACGTGGACTTTTCGCGTGACGCGGTGGATCGACGCCTCGGAGCGGATGGCCAGGTGGGGCTCGATCCGTTCGGCCGACTCCAGGCACGAGTGGACCGCGTAGCAGGGGATCTCGGCGTCCGTGAAGTCGATGGCCATAGTGACGACTTCGCCGAGACGGTACGACGGACGCGTGAGCATGACCACGCCGACGCGCTGGCCGTTGCGGGCGATCTCGAAGCGGTTGGGGCTCTGCTGGCCCTCGGATGTCATGTTACTGCGCATGATGGCCATGTTGATGGCATCCGTGGCCGTGGTGGCGTCCTCAAACGCCGACGGTCGTCGAGACCCGGGGTACGCTGTGGGTGATAGCAGGCCTGCGCTGGACCCTTGACGTGGTCTGGTAAGGAGCTCGTCGACGTAGATGAGGAACTCGTTGATGGTCGTATCCGTCTTTGGCGCCTTCAACTTTTTGATTTCGTTTAGCGTCGACAGCTTGTCGACGGCCTTGATCTTCGCCTGGTCGCGGAGGATGATGTAGGGCGTCATGAGGTCGTGGCCGAGTATCTCCCCGTGGCTGTTCACGCTGCCCAGCACCCTGAAAGGTATCTCGACGGAGCGTACTTGTTGCTCTTTCGAGCCGCCTGCCCGTTGTGTGCCAATGACCAGGTTGTACGCGATTTTCACCGCCTTCCCCTTGTGTGTCGGTGGTAGTCCCTTGGGAAGCTGGAACGAGTACTCGAACGCCTTGTGCTCGCCTGGGGCAAGGTTCAGATCCACAAAGAGAATCGACTGAGGTGTCGAGAGCAGTGGGACAGACTTGGAGCTCGCGATGCCGCGCATGTCTTTGATGCTGCTGACTTCGCCGGCCCCGAGCAACTCTCCGATCGAGTTGCTGATGCTTCCCCAACCAAAACTTCGAAGAAGTCCGCTGTCCCGCTTCGAAGGCTCCACTCCTATAACACCACCTCCTTGGCCGCCTACTACGGCCTTTCGTTTGACTTGCTCGAAGGGACCCAGGTTAATGAGCGAGCCATCAAGGGTGAATGAGCCCTGGATCTGGGCGTAACCCATCATCAGTGACTCCGGTTGCTTGGGGTGATGGGATGCGAGGTTCGAAGACCGTCGAAAGTGCGGCGGTCGCATCGGACCTCTTGTGGGTTGTGTTGGGTACTCGGAAGCCAACGTTTCCGTTGAATTGTTGCTCATCGAGTAAAACTCTCCGCTGCTGCGTGGCGTCCCCCCTCCCATGCTTGTCGTAGATAGTATGCGCATGGCCGGGGTCGCATGTTCGCTGTGGTTGGCATTGATGCCATCCTTGGATCGTATGGCAAGGTTTGGAGGCACTTCGCTGTTTGGGCTCAACAGCCCATCGTGATGTGCCGCTATGGGTGTGCTTTGAGTATCCGACAGCGGAGATTGAACCATTGGAAACCGAAACTCCGCCAACGCGTTGTTCGGGGATCTTATAGAACGTTGTGTGTTGATTGCGCCAGGGGTATTCGGTGCGGTGGAGGATCTCGAGGTTGCGGGAGGTGAGTCGGACGCAGAAGTCGAATTGAAAAGAGGCGAGCTAATGTGCCTTGGTGATGCTGCGGCGTGTTAGCAATCGGACTGCAAGTCAACATGGAGCGCCAAAACACTGACCAGAGTGAGGCCCGGTAAGCCCCAGACCCAGAGCAGCTCCGCGAGGGACGATCTGGAGACTGGAGGCTCGCGCATGGCCGCGACCAGATCGATGCGACTTCACAGAGCTAGCGTTGCTCTGGCTGTCATCGTGTATTGTGCTTGTAGAGCCGATCGACACGATGGAGACAGACTTCTTGTGGCCGTTGCTGCGATGTTCGACGGCGCTAGGTGGATGCGACGATGGCCATGGTATTGAGCCTGCGCGGCTTCGCGACTGGGCTGCCGGTACATTGAGTGAGAGGGCGGATCGGTGACCGCGGGTATGAGCAGAGTTCGGCGGGGTTAAGCCGGCGCTGGACTTGCCTCTCAGCAAGGGCGAGACATGCCTCGGTCGGTCGGTAGGTGCGAGCCGCTGGGACTGTCGTTGTTGACTGGGGTCGCGGGCAATGTTCTTGAAGGTGATGGTGCACTTGATCTCCTCGCCAGCGAAGACAGTCTGGTCGTGCCAGCGGATAAAGACTCGAATGTTGCTGGAGGCCTCTGGAGACATGATGGCGCTCCTCCGGTCGGAGCGGAGGGGAGGGGAGCAAAAAGGGGAAGGGGAAAGGATCGATTGATGTTGCAACGAATCAGCTGGGCATCACATGTCTGGCATTAACCATCGTCGCGTCTGGACCCGTGGATTGAAAATGGACAAAGAGTCCTGAAAGGTGCATTGAGCGTCATGGGTTTCCGAGTTGGCGGGAGACGGGAGGTTGAGCGAGCTGGGCTAGCTCCAGTGTCACTACGAGTCGAACGGGGCCCTTCGGCGCGCGCTGCAGGGGTTGAGTCCACATCCCCGTTTCCTTTCATAGTTTTAGCGTCACTATCACCTCGGCGCCTTACCTCAGCAGATCGATCCACTTAAATAAAACGGGGCTGGGTGGTTGCAGACGTATCGGTCGCGGTACGTACCTCCAGCGGCGACGCAGCTCATTCCACTTACACGGAGACCTCTCTTCCATCGTGTACGATAGCATTGAGTTTTAACACGTTTCTAACTTGTTGCTATCTAGACACTATGATATTGAAGTGTTCTACTCTTCATTCATCTGTACTTTTAGTCAAATGCATAGAATAATATAGAAATTATGGAAGTGAAGCTTGTTGCCTTCTCTTTTTCGTGGAAAGGGGTCCCCTCAAGACCGCACCTTCCGGCAACGTGAGGTGGAAGGCGCACCTGCCGTCAAGATCCAGATCCCTCTACACTTGAATAACCCTCGCGACTTCCTTGAGGCCACCCGTATTTTTCCTCTTCCAAGCCCTCGCCTCGGTTCGTCCATCTCCAGCACTAGGCATTTTGCCATCTCTCCAACCGTTCGTCTTCCCACTAAAGCCTGATATCCTCGGATGGTCATCACACTTTTTCCAGTATCCGTTTGAATCACTCTCTTTTAACTTGTGTCGGCTTATTTTGTTTCGCTTTCACAATCGCCAAAAGCTTCGAACACAGTCGCACCAGTTTTGTCCCGAACTTACTGTCCTGATACAAGCACCCATTCTCCAAAGATGACGATCATCGACACTCTACCAGCCGTAGATGTGTCAGTAAGACTAAGCACCTCTTTCAGGAACGCAGATGAGTACCCCGACCCAACCCCATACCGTCGAGAGCGATACCTGGGAGGATTCGAACGTTGTGCTCGGAATTATATTGAGAGCCAGGATGGTGCCGAGTTTTGCATCTGTATCAGTGTCAGAGACGACTATTCTATTGATCCTTGGGTCTACGATAGCCATGGCCTCCTCTTCTTCCTTTACATCGATGGGCAGTTCATGGGGAAAAGGTTCTGTCAGAGTAAAGACTTCAGGAAAGGCGGTTGGGACTTTACCTTCTTCTCGAGAAGACACCCCAACAAGGATCGCACTGCTCTGGTCGAGAGTAGATTTAAGTTCCAGTCGATTGTTACCAGTAAGATCTCTCACATTTGGCCTGTGCCCTACATAGTTCAACGCCATATACTCACATCCCGCACAGTCGATGACGAGCCTACCGACAGCGATATTCGTCGAGCCCGCGATCTTGGCAATATCGAGATAAAGGTCAAGCTTGGGAATATTACCGGCGCACCCGGCCGTCCGACACGCAGCAATCTCGAAAGAGACTTCCGCGAGCCGGATGTGGACTACTTCCAGATTCCCGAAGAGGCACTCAAAGGTCGCCCTATCTACCATGGCACCTCGTGAGTTGCTTTCCATCTCTGTAGCTCCCTCTCTGACGAGAAAGTCAGCTTCACCGATCCAGTGAATTTGCCTGGAGGACCGCCGCGTCACAATGTTCTAAAGACTTCCACCGGGCCACTCCTGGCAACGTACAGCTTCAAGTACCGGTCGCATGGCAAGTAAATTGCTGGCAAAGTTCTCTTGAAAACAGACAGCTAACAGGCTTTCAGAGGCCTTGAAAATCGAAGACATTATTTCTGGAACCCCAAGTCCAGAGCCCATGCCTCAGCGCAGATCGGTCCACTTTGAAGAATCAGATGCCATTCCCCGATTCGAAGATCTACATGACGACGAGGTGGAGCGTCTTGCTCGAGAAAGGCTGAGACAGCTGAGGGTAAGATGCATGTGTATCTAGTATCGTTTCGTTGACTGACACGGTCTTCAGGATGAGAGACTCCAGATGTCAAGCTTGAAAAAGCGCACATACGACGACTACTGTGATCTCACCCAGGACAACTACGAGCAAGCGGACAGGCCATACAAGGTCCTCAAGATGGCAAGCGGCCACGAGGTTATCGATCTCACAAGCGGCTACTAGAAATATAAGCCGCGAGATCGGGATTCCATTGTCAAGAACGGACTGGTGGCCGATGAAGGATTATATGGCGTCTCGTACGCCGAGGCTAGTTGAGAAATTATCCAGGTTCCACAGACTGGAGTGTATTGTCGCAGATTGGGTCTTTCGGAAGTCTTCATATCGTGAACTCCGTTTGGTTGAAGGAAGATAAATTTCCTTGTCAAAACAGGCACAATGTTGCTAGAGGGCTGCTTCATAGTTTGTATGAAAGGTCTTTGCAGCCAAGCCTAAGTACAGATATAATACACAGGCATTGCACCCACATCTCGTTGTATCACTTGGCCGTTTCCTGCAATTAGTGTGAGAAATAATGGCGGTCCCATTCCTGATGTTATTTTCTCATTAGTAGACCGCCTTGTGGCACTTGTTTGCCTTTCCTGAGCACAAATCTATTTCTGACCTGGATTAGACTCCTTCTATCTTATTCATGTCGAGCCAGCTGCGGGAATGAGATTTGAATCATTGGAGACGGTCGTGACAGAGTCTCGTCGTAGCCCACCAAGATATTATAGGTATTCTTGGTGGGACAAAAAACCACATACGACCATACCCACTGGAGAACTCGGGATCCCGTCCGCTCTCCCTTAGATAAGCCGGTGAGGGAAGGCTTGTCTAGAAGAGCGGGATCCCCTGCTGACTAAGCCGTTGGCCGTTTCGATCAGCCGGCCGGACGGCCGTATGGCGCCGACCGTTTGCTCGTTCTCTTTTTACAAAAACGACCGCAACTCCCGCCCTCTCTCGACACCACGCCGCCACCCCCCTCTCTTTTCTCCCCTTGCTCTTCGTCGCCTTTCTCTTCCTCTCACATCTCCCCTGTTCTCGGCGGGATCTCTTTTCCCTTAAGCACAATGTCGTTTCTTGTATCGTTCGACTTGTCTGCACGATGTGCCACACCCACCCCCATCTAACCGCTCGGCAAGTGCTCCCCCCGTTGGGACAGCGCTGTGCCATGGAGTGCCGGCACGTTGGACAGAAACGAGTCCCATTCGCACTATAAGCGAAGCGGATGACCTTTCTTAAATGCCAGACGCCGCCCGCTCTTTTGCCCACCTGCCTTTTCTTTCACTCCCCTGGGCCGCCATTCCCTTAATCTAGACGTTACCATCTCTCCCTTGCGCAAGGCCGAGACAACCCGTTAGAATCATGGTTTGCATCATATCTCAGCACGGCGAGATGCCTGACTCGGCGAATGGCAACGAAGCGGAGGGCTTCTACGGATACGATGCGGAGGCTGGCTGGGCCATGGACTTTTACGACGAACCCCTGAGCAACCTTGTCCAAGAATTCTCGACAGAAAAGACCGAAGAGTACGAAATTCTGCCAGATGATCCGGAATCTGAGCAGAGGCGTTTCCAAGAGAAATTGGAAGGCTTCATGCAGGAGCAGCTGCCAGACCTTCGAGAACCTGCTAAGAAAACGAAGGAAGCACAGAGATCCATCTGGGAAGCGTGGAAAGGGTAGGTTCCCCTAGTGTGCACTGTATTACTCTTGTGCCTTGGAGGACGAAGAGTTTGACTGACATTGGCTCTTCATTCGTAGCTACGTATCGCGGAACGCGCGCAAAGACCCGAACCAGGTCATACTCGATCTCTGCCGTCAGTTGAGAGAGGCGGAAAGCATATGCCAAGCTTTCCTCGAGAACTACGTTGAGCGTTCTGTCAAGCCTCGACTCAGCCTTGGGCCAAACGAGATGGAAAATGTACGAACTGTGACGTCCGTTAACAGCGTTATGCAACATTGGGAACTTCTGGTCGGCGCTGCCGAAAGGGAAGTGCTCCAGAGGATGAGGTTCAAGGATAGCGAAAACACGTCTCTTTGGAGGCTCGCGTACAAGAAGAAAGAGGATGGAATTGCCGAAGGGCCCGGCATGAAAATCCGTAGGGTATGAACTCACGTCGTCGTGGTATCTCAGTCCCAGGCGCATCTACTGACTTATGATTCTTTAGTGGATTGAAGGAGACATGGCAGACAAGTACAGCTTACTCCGCGAGCAAACTTTTGTGAAAGTTGAGGCAACAATCCACGACATCTTACTGATGCTCGACATTCTTTGGACCCGCGCGGAAGACATCTTATGCGACCCCTCGACCCGACTGGCCATGCAACAAGCCATTATCCTTGACAGCATGGGCGGGTGGCGTTCGGGCTCATTGATGGAATTCTGTTACCAGAATGTTGAGGTTGCTGTTGTCAGGGATCCTGAGAATCACGAACGAACGACGCTCATTGCGGAGATCACCGTTCAGCAGAATAAGCGACCGAGCAAGAGGGCCCAGAAGAGCCAAGACCAAATGTATGTGAGCCCCAGTTGCTTGCTGAATGTTACTAACAATCATAGTATGTCCTTTACAGTCACCTGCGTCCCCTGCGAGAAAATATGTCTCCTTCGCTCGCTGATTGCTTGCGCACTGCAAGCCGGGGCATTCGAAGCCGGATTTGACTCGTTCGAGACTTTGCTGAAGCAACCGAAATTGGAGAACGTCGATTATGTTCCTCTACGGTGGAAGGAAGGCATGGCGAAGAAGCCCATCGTCCCCATCAAGTATTACACCTTTTGGCGTATTTGGCATCGAATACTGTTCGTCATGGGGTGCCGCAGCCCATTTCGACCCTATTCCATGCGCGTCGGTACCAACTGCAGACTTGACGGTAGGAGAATCGCGACCTAGTACAGTGCCGATGTTGTCCTGGAGACGGCAACACGCACATATTGCAACGTGCTAATGAATGAACCTAGGTCCGCTGACACCCGCCTTGCAAAGTTATATTTCATCTAATACCCCCGCTGTGCGCGCAAAGAGCTACCAGCCCAGACATGTTAGCGAAGATTTGGCGCGGCTAGCCTTCGGCGACCTTGCCGGGCGAAAGGACGAGCTCAACCAGTTCCTGCGCCAGTCTACCTACAAGAGGGATGATCAGGCCCCACTGTATCCGACTTCAGGAGATCTCGCGGGATTTGAGAAGCGGAAAGATGTGTCCCTTCTACGGGAAAAGCACAGAGAAGCCATCGTGCAACATGGATCGGGCAGCTCTGCGGCCAAACGGGCTGGCGCTAAGGTCTGGGATAGGGTCAACGCGCTCTCGGCCTTGGCTGTGAATGTTCGCAGACGCGCATACTTTGAAAGGGTCGACCGATTAAGAGCTCGAGGCATTTCCACAGCGGTAGCCCCCATGCCTTCCACCAACCCTCACCGAAAAACATCGCAGTCTCGGTACTCTTTGGCAGCTGCAGTCAAGATCGGACGATACTTACAGGGAAGGGCTAGCGATACACAGCCCGATTCGACCGTGTACGTGGATAGCCTCATGGCGTATCTGGCTAACAGAAATGTCTTCGATGAGCCGATTCTTGTTTCACCAATAGCGGGATCTCATGTGCGTGGAAAACGGGGCCATCGAGAGACAGAGAGGCAAGCGCAATGTCTTCTCTGCGGTCACCGTTTTGCCAGGCGCAGCAACCTGACGAGACATTGTGATACTACCCACCTAAACCAGTTCCAAAAGCCGTTTGCTTGCCCAGAGTGTACGAAGGCGGGCAAACACCACGTCATTCAAGACCGCCAGGGCTGGAGTAGTCATGTGGCCAGATGCCATGGGGAAGACAATGCACCGAACTTTTCTCGTGGCCAGCGACCACCTATGTCTGAAGAGTCTCGCTGCTTGATTTGCAGTGCGTGGATTTCCGGCGGGCATAACCTGACAAAACATATCCGTTTGGTCCATGAAAAAACTGGCTTATTCGAAAAGCCATTTTTCTGTCCAGAATGCTTCCGCCAGGGAATGCAAAACGAGGTGGCAGACCGGAAGAATTGGACAAGCCATGTCAAATGGCATCATAAACCGACGAGCATCGAAAACAAACCTGTTGGCGAGCGCACGGTATGCTTGATCTGTACCGATGAGTTCACACGCAGCCGCTTCATGGACCATTTCGTAAGCGTTCACCTGCGCCAGCAGCGCATATTCGAAAAGCCGTTTGATTGTCCGACATGTCGCCACAAAGGTCGTACTATCTTGGTCACCAGCATGGGAGACTGGTTTTGTCACGTGGCTGCAGAGCATCAATCCCAAGATGAGATCGTCATAAACAAGATCGAGCACGCCGAGGGAGACCCTGGTCATGATGAGTCGCAGCGCGAAACAAGCGAGCTCCAAAGGCTGAGCGTGAAACGTTATCTCGATCTGTCAGGCGAAGAGACAGGCGGACGCCCTCGGAGCAGGAGAAAGTATAGCCTTTCACCTCCATCCTCTGTGTCTTTGACGTCATCCGCCGCTACGGAGACAGGTTGTACAGTCTCTACTAGAGCCTCGACGCCTCCAAGTGACCTCGAAACATTTGTGATCGACCCTCGGCTTCTTCAGATACATTCTCAATGCCCGGTTGAGCAAGGAGCCGATGAAGACGCTCTTGGTGAGTGGTACAATAGTGGTTGAAACTGTGGTTTGCCTGGATTTCATTTCACATCATAAACCACGCAACTTGAAGCCAAGCCCATGATGAACAAAGAACGTAGCCTAAAGGTGGATTTGCACATCACTAAGGTTCTTACTGGTCAACAAAGAATCAATAAGAACCAGGAACATCTACACTATTCTATCTAGCTTCATTCTCGGACCCTGACGTCCACCAAGTTTGGAACTGTTTGCGCAACTCTCTTTCTTCTCTGTATTCTTTCTCTAACAGAGCTCGTAGTTTTAGACGCCGTGCCTCGCGCTGTGTTCTCCACTGCTGCTCGCTATTCTCAACACAGCTCACGGAGGAGCTTTTGTCAAAACGCATGAGAAGAGTAGTTAGGACCACCCGACGTCGTTCCCCTTCCTGTTTACAAACGGGGCAGTTGCGAATAAACTTAGAGGCTGAACTTGGTACGCAGTCGGAGTGAAGAACGTGACCTGATAGATTGAGCCTAAAGATGTCCAACGGGCAGAAGATGCGAACTTACCACAACGGCCGGCCTCAAGCTTTCTGTTTTGGCTAGAATCGAGACAAATAGGACAATAGTCTAGACTGTATAGCCTATAGGCTTTTTGAGGCCCACGAATGTAATGATTGAACTTGGAACAGATTAAATCCACAGTTCCATTGTACTTTTGGAAGTTGTTGCAACATGTGGAACAAATCGTCTGACCAAAATTGTAAGCACGGGTCTCCTCTAGGGTTATGTGATACCGACACAGGAGCAAGAAGGCAAAAGCATTTGCTCATCAAGAATATTATAGCACCAAGCGCAGAAGTATGAAAGCTTCTCCATTTCTCTCATCGAGTCGCCAGCAATCGTTCTGGTGACACTAGGTGCGTGTGGGCGAGGAAGGTCTGAGAAATATAGCCTTTTATGGAGGGGACTGATGTATTTGTATTCGGTCGCTTACAAATAAGCCCGCAACCTGGACGCCTTCCCCTTGTGTTTAGTGACAACTATTGGTTTCACAAGCAATTGGAGACTGGTTGGAAGGGAAGTCTAACTAGTTGGCCAACGGCAAGGCGAAGGGAGGCCCCTCGTTGTGGCGGAGTGGGCAACCCGCACCTTGCCAGGCGTGGCTGCTGCTGGCCCGGACCTCCCATCTCCTAATGCCTTACAATTGCTCCTTTTCCAACAACGACTTAC